TATATATATATATATATAATACAAGAAGATTTACCTGGCATTACTCGGGTCCTTAACTCAATTAATTTTAGTTTTTCTTCATTTAAATTACTGCTCTGGGGTAGAATGTTTATTATGCAGGCTTCCCCAGGGAGAGAGGACTACCCCAGCCCTCTCTTACCACAGCAGATTGGGGCCAGGTGAAAAGTGCCTTTCCATGGCCACTGCAGCTCCAGAAGGCACAGCCAGGGAAGAGATGCATGTCCCCTGGCAGGGGGAAAGACACAGACATGTGACAAACTCAAATATATTGTAGATAAACAAGTTTTACTGAAAAAATAATGTAAAGCAGTCTGAAAGGATTAGAGAACAAAAACGAATCGCTCTCAGCCCAACTCAGGTTGTTATAAAAATTAACAAGAGAAAGGACATGTATTAGTACCTGTTTCCCCAACACTAGATTATCCATACCTTCTATAGTGAACAAAATTGAAGGTTTCTGCAGTCACGTTTTTCTCTCTCATACCCTTTTCCACCCTGATGTCTTGAGAATAGTAAGAGATCCAGAGTTCAGCAAATGAGCAAACACCAGTAATCCTCAACTACCACTACTGCAGCTAAACTTGGCAGCCTCTAGTTCTCCTGGTCCTTATGCCTTGTGAACTTCTTTTTATGTTTTACTTCTATTATTCCTGATTTTTGGACCCCTGTAACTGACGTTCATGAAGAGAGGCCCTTTGAAATGGGGATTTAAAAAATAAAAAAGTGTAGACCCTCTTCTATTATAATGAACTTTTGCTTGTGCACAGGGATAAGAAAATGACAATTTGCTAAAAAAGGATTCTATTGTAGATAAAATTTCTCCTTTCCTGAGAGTCGATGTGCTTTCACTGCTGACAGCTTTTCACAACTCTTCTTCATGTTGTCAAAAGTCTTGACATAAGACTCCCAAAACAATAAATTCATGTCCACATAAAATTAAGATTGTCATCATAGGCTGCCTCTGGGAACAAATTTAATAGATCTTTGGTCATCTGAGTAATAGTTTGATTATAGTGAACATTTCTAACTAAAGTGAAAATATGTTAGGGCAATTTGATTAAAGAACAATGAGGGTACTATTTGATCAGAGTATCAAATTCATGCAGCCATTTTAAATTCTGGTCTGTGTACAGAAGATACACATTTAGGAATTCCTCTCCAGCCAACAAGTCTCCTACTAACAGCAGCAGCAGTTTTGCAGAAAATCAAAGGTGGAATATCACCTTAATTATAATGTAGTAACTAAACTTATAATAGGTTTATTCACATAAATTAGAAACTTAAAGAGCGATGTGTTTAAATACTTTTAAATTTACATCCCAAGTAGTTTTACAATTTTATATAGAAGTACAGGCTGTCCTCGCTCCAAGGTACGTTCCAAAAATCTTGGACTTATAGCGAAACTTAAAGCAAGGAATCTTTTTCCCATGGCTGACGTCCATTTGTGCAAATTGAGTTGGGTTTTTTTGCATGACTTCAGAGCAGGGAACAGGAGGACTTATAATGCATTGGTTCCTACAAGCATCAGCGACTTTAATGCGGAACAGATATATACTGGGGCAACTTATAGCGTGTACGCGCTTTACTGGAAGGAACAATTCCAGGTTGGCACAAGGTTAAGCTATGTGTAGGTCATTTAAATCTTTGTAGAGTTCTCTGATTCAGAAAAGTGCTGTGTAATTCCATATTATCTGACAGAGCTAGATAGATTTTGAAGGTAGTGCAGCTACCCAGAAACGTAATAGCTCAAATCAAAAGTCTGTCTAGTCAAATTATACCTAAAAATAAGGGATGTGCTCCTCCCCACATTATCTTAGGAACTATTTATGCAAGTGGAGGGAGGAATATATCTTACAGAGGTAAACTAACATACCAAGCAGAAGAGAGAAGGATGCAGTTCTGTTTATTGATGGAAATTGAAACAACACAAATGAAGTTCTATCCACCCTTTTTAAGAAAAAGACATCTCATTTTTAATTTGAGTTCAAGATGGATGACTGGTTTTAAACCATAGAAAGTTTCCTGAGCATGCAAATAGATCGGATGCAGACTTTGCCATATTAACTTTTTTGTATTTGGGAGATAAGGGATGACTAATTTTCTTTATAAAAGTGTAGCAGATAATCTAATTTGTACAAAAGACATATACACGCCATTGAGTTTCTTATGAAACCTGTTTTGCCTCATAGGATCTAGTACTACTCACTTTCAACTTCTTAATGCAACAATGTGGAAATGGATAAGCTATAAAAGCATTTACAATAATGGCTTGTAAACAACAGAAGCAAACATCTCATTTCATATCCCATTTCTAATTTGAACATTTTAAAGACTAAGGCATCCTAGGTCCTTTTTTTTCTAATTATGATGGTTTAGCCAATCTGAACATTTTAAGAAAGTTTCTAGGAGAATTTGAGTTTTACAGTGGATTTCACAATCTAAAATAGCAAAAAGTTTGTTCAGTTTTGTGTTCTCCTGTCCTAGTGAGGACAGTGGATACATATATTGTAGAATCTTCCAAGATTAAAATTATTCTAATATAAGTTATTACATGAGTAGCCATAACTTTGGACTTGAAGACAATTTAAGGGCCCTGATTCTTTACAAAATAGTGTAACATACTGTTTAGAAAGTGTTTTTCTACAGACACTTTGAAACAGAACTTAGTTTTTAAGCACAATATAATTTATGTTCCTATTCAGTAGGTCATTTATTACTACTATAATTTCAAGCTGGAACCAAAAAAAAAAGGTGTAAATACTGGTTATAACTCAAAAGCAGTTGTATGTGAATTACAAGACTGTTCTAGGTGTTGCATATGAGCTCAGTGAAACATTCTTCTGCTAAGAGAGGGAATATACAGAAACTGTCTTCTTTCAACATTAAAAATTTTCAGGTCAGGCAATATTTGGTATCAGTCTAAAACAAGTTAATATTTTGAGCAGTTTTAATACATTTCTTTTCTACAGTCGCATATGCACCTTTTCATTAAAAAGCCTTAAGGCTGTGCAAATTGACTGGCAGTTCTGCATCTTTGTTAAAGTAGATAGCATTGAAAGGATAGCCAAACAAAATCCATGAAATACATATTTTTTCACCCATAGAATGTTTCCATTCTGAATTAAATTTGCACTGACTTTTCACCTTGTGATAAAAGAATAGATAATATTTTTGTTTCCTTTCACTTATTTTCTTTAGGATGATTAAATAACCAACATTTTTCTAAGACTCATGTCTTTTCCACTAGACTTGAGATTTCCCCAAAATGAATGCAAATAAAATTTTCAAACCACTTATATCACTTAAATATATTTAAATTTCATTTTTAAAGTTATTTTTGGCCAAATGTTGAAAAGTATTTGGGTACCATAAAATATGCAGATACTGGAACACCTACTGTATCTCATTGCTCATTCCACGAGGAGTAACGGTAGTTTGAACTAGGAAGCCTACTTCGAACTACCTAGTTCGTGCCGCGTGTAGCCGCGCGGCATGGGGTTCGAACGAGGTGGGATAGCACTTAGCACAAAGTCAATATAATATCCTCACACCGACAATCTCTTTGGGTATGTCTACACTACCCCGCTAGTTCGAACTAGCGGGGTAGTGTAGACATACCCAAAGAGATTGTCGGTGTGAGGATATTATATTGACTTTGTGCTAAGTGCAGCAAATCAAACATGCTGATCTAAAGTGCCTTCATCCTGCTTTGTTGTGCCTATTAAAATACTTGTTAAACATTATGCCAACATTGCTCAGTGCTTGTTCGACTTAACTATGCAGCATTCTGGGCAGATATCCCATGGAGCAATATTCTTGCTGCTCAATGTGCTCTGGCATTTTTCTCAGGTGCATTGTGGGATGCCAGCTGAAACCCACAGGAATTTTGGGAACTAGGGTCAAATTAAGGCTTCTGTGATGGCTAGGGGGAGTGCTGGCCAACACTTGGAGTATGTCTAGACTACATGGATCTGTCGACGGAGCCATGTAAACTAGTTTACCTTGCATAGGCAAAGAAGTGGGGATTTAAATAATCCCCTCCTCGTTAAAATAAACATGGCCACCACACTGTGCCGATGATCAGCTGATCCAGCCAGGAGTGGCCTGCAGCAGGCTGCGGCAGCTGGCGTCCCAGGCGGAACGTGCGATCAGCGCTCCCGCCTGCATGGCTGTCAATGGAGTGATGTCGTCATCGGGCATCCCATGACATCATCATTGGGTGCCCCGTTGAAGGCGGTGCCCTAGGCGATGGTTGAGTCGGCCTATAGTCATGGGCCGCCCCTGGATCCAGCACAGCGCGGCAGTCTCCCCGCGGCATTTTAATAAAAATGTCCGCCGCTTTTTTCCGGCTTTTAAAAAAGCCGGAAAAGAGCGTCTAGACTGGCCCCGATCCTCCGGAAAAAGTGCCCTTTTCCGGAGGGTCTTATTCCTACTTCAAAGTTGTGCCTATTCCCCAGCCAACAGATCCGCATCTAGACTTCCGTGCTGTGCCAGGTTAGCTAATCATTAGCACAGCGCAGCAGCCATGTTTATTTTAATGAAGCGGGGATTATTTAAATCCCCACTTCTTTGCCTATGCCGGGTAAACTAGTTTACATGGCTCCATCGACAGAGCCATGTAGTCTAGAAATGGCCTTGGTGACTAAAGGGTTAAACTCAGATAGCTTCAGTGAGTGTTGGTAGAAAGCCAATGGAAAAGACTGTTGAAATTTGAATTGTATATCGATACCTTGCCTGCTCTCTTTGTGTATGAGCAAGATGCAGTAATCAAAATTACCATGCCTACAAGGAATCTTGGGCATGGGAGCAAATTGGGCCTTGAAGCATGGATCATGAGTAGAGGGGAATGTATTTTTAGATGTAATTAGGGTATTTTTCTTTGTTTTGGTCAAGTTTCTCTGTGTAAATTCCATGTGCTCTTCCCACCCCGATTCACTGTCCAAGCTGTGCCCAGAGATACTATGTTCTCTGTTTCAGTTTCTCAGTTGCTCTGTAACACCTAGCAACCAAGTATGCTTTATTAAGGATATCTTTTTTGTTGTTGTTTGTTAAAAAATCATCTTTTTTTAAGGTGCTGATTTGATTCTTGTGTCCTGGAAGGTAACAGGCCTGTGGGTGTGTCTGCCTAACTTGAGAGATCAGCTATCAAGAGTTTCTTTTCTTTTCTTTTTTTCTTTTCTTTTCTTTTCTTTTTTAAACTCTTGTGGAAGATCTTGGGGAAAAACTGGGATAGGGATGTTAAATATCAGTGAAATGAATAGTCAACCTTAGGGTTGCCAGGTGTCCAGTATCGGCCCGGATAGTCTGGTACTTGTGGCCTCTGTCCAGTAAAAAACAAAACAAAATACCAGACATGTAAAATGTCGGGTATTTTCTGTTTTTCTCAGACGGATGGCTGCTAGGGACATTCTTCCCTGCCGCATGTGGCGGGGGTGGGAGCAATGTCTCTTTCGTGTGTGTGTGCGTGCATCTCCCCCTCTCCTCCCCGGGCCATGTTTGGTATTTTTTTGTGAAAGTATCTGGCAACCCTAATTAACCTCATGATTTCTTATCAGCTACTTGCCTAAACTATAGTCCCTGGGGGGTGGGGCCAGCAGCCAGTGCAGTCCAGCCTCATCCCTAAGGAGCCTCTTGCCACTCCACACTGCTGCCTCTGTTTCAGAGGCAGCAGTGCAGGGTGCCAGGGAGGAGCTGGTCCAAGAGGGGAGCCAGTTTAAAAACCAGCTCCCCTTCTAGACTGTCTCTCTGTGATACAGAGGCAGCAGCGTGGGGTGGCAGCAGCCCCTGTCCCGGGGAGAGGAGGAGAGGGGAATCTGAGCTTCCGCATCCAACACGAGCCGGAACTGAACTGGGCTACCTGCCCACCTGGCTCCTAATACTAACTTAAATTCTACTAACCCTGGGCTTACATTGCAATGTATTAGGAGCCACAGTGGGGGTAGGTCCCAGACCCGGCACAAGCTGGGCTGCTGGACCATCCTGCTAAAAAATTTATTGGTAAGGAGGGGCAAGGGGGAGGATGCATGTAGTCTATAGAATTAACCTACAACCTTTTGCTTATTGGTTAATTGGCTATATTATTACATCCCTACACTGGGGAAGGAATTCAAGTGTTTGTTTTTTTCAGGGTTCTTAGACTGCCACCATCAGGTGATTTTAATCTCCTAATCTAGAGCCATTTTTTTTGTAAGCAGAGCCTACCGAGGCAAGGTATTTTTGCAGCCTCCACCTTTTGCACTCAGAGTGGCAGAGCGGGGAACAGCCCTGATAGTTTCCATAATTCTTTCTCTGGCATTGCATAATTCATCCATATTTTGCCAGCTCCAGACAGCATTAAGGACATGTTGCTGAGTCCTGCATCAAGAATCAATGTGAACATGGTGGTACGTTTGGCAGTCGTATAACCAGATGGATTTGGCTTACTCATTTCAGATGAAATTCAGCAGTTACTTCTGCAGGACATTTATCTGGAGCTATCACTAGCTGGTGGGACAGGATAGTGATGCAGAACTGGGATGACCAGCATGGCTCAAAACTTCAGGCTATGGAAAACTGCTTTCTTACATACCTGCAGAGCTCATGCCAGAACTACAGCACAACACTAGCCTGAGTTTCCCTTAATAGGGAAGCATGCTGCCATCTGGAAGCGCTCTACCTTGGATTGCCACCAGTCAGTAGCTAACCAGCTAACCAGTCACTATAGTTTGGTGTTGGTAAATCAACTTTCCGGGCTGGTGTCATATGGGTTTATGCTGTTAAAAGGGTACTACTGTGCCAGTTGTAAAGCTTGCACTGTATAAACACAAGGTCTTGCATGGACAGTTTGCAAACTGCATAGGGGTTACAGATGTAACTCAAATGCCTTTTTTTCTATTCCAGCCAACCAAAGACTAACACGAAGGAGTATTTCTTGCTGGTGGTCCAAAGCCTGATTGCTACCATGGGAAGTTGACCAATATTAATGTGGGGTACTCTGGAAAGGTCCACAATGCCACAATCATTAAAATAAACATCAGGCTGTTCAGAAAACTCTCTCCATTGTATACATGAGACCAAGTGTGCTTTCCATATTGTCATAGGTATTTTCTGGGAAAAAAAAATTCACTACATTATTCTTGGGGTGCTATTGCCGTAGTCTAATACAGTAGTTCCTCATAGTAAAGGCAGGTAGTGGGGGCATAAGCAGAGATCCTGTACTTGACCCAGGTCTTCAGGTATTTCTGTCTGAGGTCCTTTGCTTTGATTTAGCACTGGACCCATCTCCCTTTTTATAGTTGTCATGTAAAAGGCTGCATTCTGGTGATGCCTCAAGAATAGATGGAACTAGACCTGCAGCTCTCTGAAAAGGACAATCACATGCTGGAGCCATGCAGGGGTCCACATAGTATGTGGATCCAAGTGCATGAATTCACCACTCCCTGTTATCAGAAAAGGCACACCTGGTTGACTGCCATTATTAAAACAAGTGACATTGTTCATATACTGGAGTAGATAGACAATCCAACCCTGATGAGAAGCAGTGGTTGGACTACTAGCAGTAGAGTAGTTAGGAATGAGTCCACACAAATCTTAGTGAATGTTATCACTGAAAGATAGAACAACAAGTACTCCTGTTTCAGTTTCTTTAAGACACCAGTTAGTTCACTTTAAAAAGTTGTATATGTATGCAAAGCACTGTAGGGCAAATAGTTACATCCATATAACATCCTGTTAAATTCTCTAAGTAAATAGTCATAGCACATAAAAAGAGCTGCATTTTCTAAAAATGGCATTTTCTTCAATGTTAGAATTCACTTCTAGAGTCCCTTAACAGTTAAAATAGTCAGTCCTCTTTCTTGTAAGTACTGGAAGTAGCTGGTTTTGTTTACCCTTTATTTCTCCCTATAAGCCAGTGGTGCAATTTGTTACACTTAATTACTAACATTCTGTAGAACTTACATGTATCCTACTGGTTTTTCAAACAGTGTTTAATAGTCATTTTAGCTGAAACTGCAAACGTTATGTCATGTAACCACACAATTCAGTTGAATACCTAAAAATATATATAGTGTGTTAGGATTTTTGTACTACTCAGTACAGTATTCACTATTGATTTTTCCTCTTGGCAGGTGACATTTTAATTAAAATTGGACATGCCAACATATTAGGATGGACACTACGAGAGCTTTGGCAACTTTTGCACAATATTCCTATAGGAACAGTTCTACAAATCAGAGTTTACAGAGATTTTGTTGAAGTACCTCAACACTGGAAAAATTTACTTGAATTGGTTCCTGAAGTAAAGCCTCTTGTAAAGACAGAGTAAGAAACAAATGCTGTTTTCAGTGGGTTTCTTCATAATGTGGTTATGCTAGTCTAATGAGGGGCAGAGAGATGAAATAGTAATGCAACTAAAGCCAGGATGCTACTTATCAAGTATAAAGGTAGTTTTTTTTAAAAGTACTACTTTTCCATGTAATCGTCATCTACTGTTATAAAGATCTTGAAGTGCAGTTGCCTAGAAACTTACCTGCAACTTTTCTTGAAGAAAATGGACCTGAAAGTCTGCCAATATTTGTTGCCTAAACATTGTTCTAAGGCACCAAATTTCAGTTTCAGACTTCTCCTATTTTTCAAAAGGCAGTTGTCATTGGGAGAAGGCCTTATTCTGCATAAGTTGGCTTAGCCTCCTTCACTTATATTCAGCTATACCTATTTATATAAGTTGATGACCTAGATCATTGTATATACCTGAAATTACCAAGATGCAGGTAACCAGATAAACAGTTTAATGACTCACTAGTCTTTCAAATATATTAATGCTAAAGGCATAATTAGAACAGTTTAATGACTCACTAGTCTTTCAAATATATTAATGCTAAGGGCATAGTTTTTTTGACATCTTATTTGATCTTTACAGAAATGGGTATACAGCAATATAATACTATACTATGATCAGTTTCTATAAAGATGAGTATGAGGCTTGATGAAGTTGTAAAAAATATTTTCAGTTTCTAAAAATAGGAATTGCTGCTCAAGTTTTAACTAACACTCATTATACAGAGCATATTATGCTGGTGTTCCGGCAGCTACACTGGCTTCCAGTATGTTTCTGGTTACAATTCAGGGTCTTGGTTATGACTTGTAAAACCCTAAATGAGTTGGGAGCAGAGTATTTGAAAGTCTCCTATTGTACAAACTTGCCCAGGGATTGAGGTCAGCTGAGGAAGCACTGCTCCGTGTTCTTCCACTTATGGAGATATGATTAACATCTACACAGAGCAGGGCCTTCTCAGTCTTTGCCACCAAGCTATAGAATTCTCTCCTGCGGGATGTTCACCTGGCACTAACATGGGTACTGTTTTGGTGCCAGGCTAAAGCCACTTTTTTTACCTGTGCTTTTATTGGTGTTTGAGTTTGTGTCTCCCTTCCCCTCCTCCTGAGGTGTCTTAGCAGGTTGTATGCCCCCTTCTTCAGGGTTTTATATCATCTTTAAATACATGCAGTTACTGATTTAAATCTTTTGTAACCCTCCTCAAATATTTTAAATAGAGGCAGGGTAAAAATATTTTAAATAAAAATAAGGCTTAAGTATTAATTGATGCTAGATGGGATACTATGCAGTAAAATTTTCCTAAAGCCTGGGGACAGATGTTCTAGCAGAGAAGACTAAAGCTCAGGAACAAGAAAGAATGAGGGAGCTTACATTAGAGAAGGTAACTGGGAATGGGAACACTGAAAACACCTGATTAGGGCACAAGAGCAATAACAATGAAGGAGGAAGTTCAGGCAATGAAAATAAGGATGGGGCTGCATAGAAGACTAGTTCTTTAAACTTAGATTGCAAGAGAAATAGCTTTGTTCTAGTTTTCCTGAAAGATGTTTAAATTGATATTCCCTTGCTGTTAAAAATGCACATGTTGTATAATTAAGTCAAGCAGAATATACACAAATTGTGCTGTTAAAAATGCACATGTTGTATAACTAAGTCAAGCAGAATATACACAAATCAGATTTCAATTTTGCCACTTCTCACAAGAGCTTGTCTTTAAATCTATGTAACTGTTGCACATTTTTAGCACTTCAAGTAAAGACAGTGAGGCAAAAGAAGACAGTTGGACCAGTAGTGATGATTATGACGATGTAGACTCTGATGAAAGATTTAGATACAAAACTGCACAATCATTTTGCTATGATTCTAATAAACTTCCATCAATATCAAAAACTTGGCATGCATTTAAAAGAAAAAAGCACACATTTACTGTAGGCGCTGATATTGGATGTGACATTATAATTCATAAAGATGTTGATGTATGGTGTAGTTCTGACTTTGCAACTAACAGTATTAGTCCTCCTTCATATTGGACTATGGAAATGCCCAACAGTGAGTCGTCATCATCGTCGTCATCCTCTTCCTCTATATCAGATGCATTTTGGCTTGAAGAGTTTGCCAGTGTTCTGGAATAAGTGAATGGTCATATCAAACTTTCAACCTTCAGAAAATTTTTGAAGCACCCTATCAGCTGAAGGTTCATTTTAAAAATACTGATTTTGCAATTAGCTTGCCTGCCTAGGATATCTGACCATCTGATTTATAAAATGATAGCTGCTATCAAAATCTACTCTTCCTGCTCTTAAGAAAGAAAGATCTCCATCAATCCTACCTATGAAGAGAACATTAAATTTGATGCTTCTGTGAGCCCAATGATCAAGGCACAGCAGGAAAGTGCTAGAGCTGCAGTATACTGCTTTCAGCTTTTAAAGGTAAGCCTTTTAATTTGCATAAGATACAGATGGTACAAATGGCAATTTGTCCAACAACTGTTCTTGAACATATTAAGGATATATAACTGGGATATTTATTATGGCAATTATACATTTAATCTGCAGCGCAAATGTAGTCCAATACTACCCTCTGGTAGTTTTTGCAAGGCACACGCATAATGTTAAATGTTTCTGTATTTATTCATACCTTACTTTCAGTAGGTAAATATATTAAAACAAAGCATATGAATTCAGCACTTTATTCAATATATGCAAGCCCACAAGCTATCTAGATTAACATTCTGACATTAATTCATAAACAGGTTGATTGGGACTTGTGTATAATGTAACTGATGGACACAGTGAAAAAAGTCCACTTTGAATCTGCCTCAATTTTGTGTTTCCTACTACAACTCATCAACAAAAGGAGTATCTCCCAAGTTCCCACTAGCTGCCATTGATTTCTTCCCATCAACAAATTTCTTCGCAGCCTGAAACAAAAAAAAAAAGTTAGCAAGAAAACTGACCATGTTTTGATTCCATTAGGCACAATCAGCAAGCTTGTCTCACTGCTCCAGAGTCCCAGCTTCAACTGATTTATGCAATCACCAATGATTTGATATTTATGATTTTTAATAAACTGTCTGAGACAGATTAATGATATCAGCCTGAGGAATGTAGTAAAATGGCCACTTCAGAGAATTAGAAAAAGTTGCTATACATATGCCTTATGTAGCAAATATATTCTATTCAAGTCAGAAAAGCAGTACTAAGGTTCAGTGTGTCAATCACTGAAGCAAGAGAGTCAGGAGACCTGGATTCTATTTCCAGTTCCACCAGTGACCTTGGCAAGTCACTTTGCTGCTTTTTGAACTCTGTCCCTCCCACCCACGTTTTGTCTCGTTTATTCATGTTGTAAGTTTTGAGGTATGGACCATCTCTTACTATGTATTTATACAATTCTGAGCTCAATGTGACCCATGGGCACCATTGTCATTCCAATGAGCAATAGCAGCTTTGTGAAGTGATTCTGATGTTCTGGATTTATTTTCCTGACTAGATTTCCAGATGGAATATGCTCATTTCTGAAATCAAGATTATTATAATTGTCACTACCACTAGTTCAATATCTCAAAACACTGAGTATATTAATTTTGTTTCTTACAATCACACATTTAGGATTGAACCCTGCATAAACTTACTTAGGTGGAGTATTCCCTACTGACATTAGTGGGTAACCTCATAGTGTAATATTACATGATTGAGTACTAGCTGGAATTTTTCTGCATTTAGTTGTAATAGCAGAATTTAGCTATTAATTCTCAGCTATAATGACTTTGCCATATACAATATGAAAGGACTACTTCCTTCAATAAACTAAGCAGATAACTCAAAAGACATAGCTTGCAGAGAATTGTAAGCATCATAGCATCACTTTTTATAGGGTCCCTATATTCTGTACACCCAGAAAAGTATGCATAGTAAAGCTTATACAGAATCATTTTGTAAATAACGATTCCATGTGGACATGTTTACTTACATTCACAATGTCAGCAGCAGATATGGAGTCAATGTTTTGAATTACAGCTGTTGGCGATGTATATTTACCAGATGCCAATGCTTCAGAACCAATTTCATCAAGTAACCCATTTGAAGTCTCAACTAACATTAAGTATGCAGCTTTCAAATGATTTCTGTCAAACAAAATGTGGAGAATATCCGAGTAAGTACATTTTCCAATGCTTCTCAGTAGATAGACTAAATTAGAACTCCAAGTTATGTTTAGTTTTGTGCAGCTGGGATCTCTTAACTTCACTTTTGCTTAAATGCTCCTTTCTGAAGCATTAGAATGCTAAGGATATTGAATATTCTTCAATATTGGGATACTTTTATGGCACTTCAGCCCAATGATTTAAAATCTGTTTTGACACAGGAGGAGCAGCTTTCCCTTATGAGCGTGGGTGCCTAAAACATGATCAGCCAAAGAAGAAAGTCAATTATTCAAGAGGACAAATCCCAGAAAGCAGAGAGGTAAGGTCAATTATTCAAGAGGACAAATCCCAGAAATCAGAGAGGTAAGGTGGCAGAGGACCTCTCACCCCCAGCAACAATCAGGAAACTCTGGAATACTTTCAAGGGTCAGATATGAATTAGAGGAAGACTTAAAAAATGGAAACCTCAATCAGGGCCCAAGGTAGGTATCTCAGCACACTACTCTTTTCCCAGTAGCTAACAAAAGTTTTTCAGCTTCTAGCTGGAATGTGAATATTTCAAGCCCCTTTGGGCTACTTTCAAACACATTTAAAAGAACAATCATTACAGTATTTTCTATCCATAGATGTTCTCAACTTTCAGCTTTGGGATTGTTTTAAAATTACAGATTTTTAAGTTTTAGGTTTAAAGCTAATTATGTCCTACCTAGAAAAGTATAGGCAGAGCCAGATGTAAACAGTGAACAAAAATAGCTTTCTGTACAATGCTAACGCTTTGTTTAAAGAATTGTAATTTGTTCCTTATTTACCACAAGCAAGTTCCCCTGCTAGTCAATCTAGTTTATGAAAATTCTACTATTTTATTTAAAAATATATAAGTTTATTCCAATATGGAATCTTTTATGAAAATTCTACTATTTTATTTAAAAAAAAAGTTTATTCCAATATGGAATCGGTGGCATACACTATAATTGAGAAATAGTATTAATGTTTTGACTGAATTCAAGTAGGGCCACTAATACTTGGATCAAATACTAATTTTTTGTAATTACTCCCCAACTACAGGAAAAAAAAAAATCAGCAACATACTCCAAGGATGAGACTATGGAGAAAAAACTCTTCAGAAGAAAAAAAATAAAATAATGAAATGTCCCTCTATATAGATTAGGAAGATTTGTATTCAATGCTACATACAACAGGCAGAAGTTTTAACATCTGGCTGATGAGAAATGATACAATAATTTGTTTAATCATGTTTTGTATGCAATCATGCAAAGTTTTATACCAATTTATTTAAGTTATACATACAGTCTTATAATAAATAGATTTTTATATATGCAAGATTTGGTCACTTCTTTGCAGCCTTGCAGCTGACTCTGTTGGCTATAATACTTCAATCTAATTGTGGATGTTGGGTTTAATGTGTGGATGCTGGGTGACAGCAGTGGCTATTATATATAGAAAGTCAAATTAGATGATCCAGGTAGTTTCTTCTGACTTTAAACTCTGGGGGTATGCTTACCCTGCAATTAGACACCCGTGGCTGGCCCATGCCAGCTCACGTGGGATCAGGTAAAAGGGATCCTGAGAGAAGTGACAGAGTCCCAGAACTCAGGCTGCAGCCCAGGCCTGAACATCTAAACAACCATTAAACAGCCTGAGCCTGGTTCGACTACAGGTTTTTAACAGCAGTACAGACATAAACACAAGGACTTACAGTAACTGAATTTTACTGTTTTAATTTAGAAGATCACAATATGAACCCAGAGGTTAACTGCACCTTAAATTATTACAGTTGCACCTTGCTGTATTATTAGTTGGCTATTGTATGCATGCCTTCAAATCAGGAACTTATAACATTGCGAGTTTTGCTATCAGTGAAGTGGCAATATTACTTCCCTACCTTATAAGGCTCTCAAGATTATATTTTGAAAGCCCTTAGAAAACACATTCCACCAATTTAATGTATTACATTGTACAAATACCATTTGCAAGGCCTCATTATTGTATTGAAGATGTACTGTAAATGCATGCTAAATATTGCTGATTGAGGAAGCATCTCAGTGTTATCCTGCAGGGAATTTCCTAAATAAAGCAATTTGGAAAGTATTTAAACAGGAATTATATACTCATGTGCTATCATATATCAGCTTCTGCTGACAAACATCTAATGAAGAAGTAGTCAGTAAGCTATTCTTTAAGAACACTTTCTGCTGATTTAACATGTTTCTATAGAAATTGATGCTAGCCAAGAATTTACTATAATTCTCTTAACAGCAAGAGCAGTGTTCTAACTCAAAAAAAAAATCAGACAGGCAATTTGTACCATTTCCACCCCTTCCTGCTTTTGCTAGATATGAATACAGAGCAATGAGTCCTGACATAGGCAGTTATACTGCATACCTATGCTGCTGAAACACTCGCCATACAGAAGCCTCTTTATAAAGCTTACTGACAGGAAGTTGGACATGTGCTCTTGTAACTCCACTTTTATTACCAGTTAAAGCAGTGACACTTAGCTCAGAAGCCAAACAATCGATCAATATTACATAAGAATCACAGTAGTGTGGATTCATTGTTTCATTTACTATAGTCATATTTAAACAGGATGCTTGTATACTCACATTCTCAGTCAAAATGACTGTCCAAATATTTTATTAACCAATTGTAGCTGATAACAGAAAAAGCATACTGATTGGTTAATTAAATCAGTGTTTTACTATCAAGAGCTGCAAAGAGCCACAGGAGACCCATTAAAGAGAGAGTCATTTGCAGCTTGAAAACCCCTGAGCATCCCTGAATTATAGTATTCATTAGACATTTTTAACTTACTTAGCCCTTGTGACATCTTCATCAGTGATGCCGCCCTGAGCAATTGCTTTTACCTGATTCAAAGCAGCCTTAATGACCTAGGACAAAAATTAAGCAGCCTTTTTACATTTGGCATTAATGGTTTTGACCATTTCCAACCCACAAGGATTCTTCTCTTTGAGCAGAAAAAAAGACGACATTAAGATATTCCATTTTATTGGATCATTTTTCACCACCTCATCATATATTAAGAGCCTCCTCCAATAACTATTGTAGATTACACTCATTCAGGTAGGCTAACAAAATTTAGTCTGTGCTTTAATTCTCATACTGCCCCCAAAATTATTTCAAGTTCTTACACCACATAAAATGTGATCACACTCTTCCCCATTAGATTCAAATGCAAACGATCAATTCAGCCAGGTTTCTGATAGTTAACATTCTAACAGGCTTGTTCATTAATACCCACTTAATTGATAGATTTAACCACTTATATTCAGCAATCTCAAGAATGTCTTCATTACTGCTATTTTATCTTTGTACCCGTACTTCCATGAAAACAAGACTTATTCCTTTCTTTTACTGATAATGCAAACATTAATTTAAATCCTTGTCAAAAGAAGCCAAAATATTTGATCAAACCAACAAATTCTCATCAGCAACTTACCTCTCGAGTAGCAGAAGCCTGGGATATAGTATAAATCCCAAATAGTCCAGAATCAGAGTAATTAACATTAAATGCTGCAGCCTGTGGAACAAAATTTTCAGTCACTGTTCCAATACAGATAGACTATGCAATTCCTCCGTCATCAAAATAGCTACTA